GCTAACTCTCTTCCGCGTTTTGGCCTACAAAGTGTGATGGAGAGTGCCGAAGTTACACAGATACGTAACACAAATGTGTATTCCACTGAAACAGGAAGACAGGGCGGGGCATGTCAAACAGCTCCTCCCCTTTTTTAAACCCTTAAGAACCTGATGTGACCTGGGTGTCACAAACACTGGTGATCATCTGAAAAGGTTTTTTAAAAGCATTATGCCTCACTTTCAAACCAGCAAGTCCCTAAGGGACATTTACAGAACACCCAGGTTCAGTCATGTGACAATGTGTGCATTTTGTTGCTATGGTAACATTTCCAAAATGGTGGTCTGTCTGGTGTGCACATGTTGCAGTGTCATACATTTTTAAAAACACTTGTTTTTGTTTTTAAAGATATGTCAATCCATGCAACAATTCTAATATTTTAATAACATATCCTAGATTACACTTAACCTGATTTTAAAACGTCTTGTACAAATTGATACAAAACAAGTTTTGAAAATGTTGTGACGTATGTGTCACATCGGCTTTTAACAGTAAAACAGTAAGTGGAATCTTGATGTGACGTATGTGTCATATTAAGAAAAATGGTAATGACTTGCTCAAATAATTTAGCTGATTGAATTATTTTTACATATTTTACATTATAAACATATTTTTACTATTACTATCTTCTCCATGCTCGAATAGCAGATAGTGCACTATATAGGGGATAAGGAGTGATTATAAATACAGAAATACACTTTTTGATTATTTTTTTCACAACTTGAAAATGTGGAAACTGAATAAAAATAAATATGGTGTTTTATACCATATGGACATTTGGGTATAAAGTGTTTTAATTCCACAATATATGAATGTAAAACAGATGTCAAAACATCTGAGTGCTGCCCTCTTCAGGTTGAATGGTGGCTACTGCAATTGGATTTTCCTATTGGAAGTTGTGGTGCCCTGTGAGGTAAGCAGGCACAAGCTAACCACACCCCTGCCTACAGAGAGATTTCAGGTGCACCCCCCCCTAAAAAAAAACAAAAAAAAAAACATCTGCAAGTCGGAGTAATAAGTATGCCGAAAGGTCTTTACAATTGTTTGCAAAAGCTGCCTTATGGTGTAGGGTTAGGGGTTAGTTTGTGTTGTTGCGGTGTGTAACTTTCACCACACCCCTATCTTTTGACACACACACATGTCCCCGACCTCCCAGCAAACACAGAGCATTCCCGAATGGTCCCATGAGGTTATTTTTTTGGGAACCAAACAAGAACGTCATAGGAAATGTTCCATGTAGGTTATTTTTAGGTTCCATTTTCATAATGTAAGGAGAATGTTCCGGGAAAGTTCACTTAACCTTAAGGGAAAGTTCTAGAAACGTTCTGGGAACAAAAAACTAAAATTCCCAGAATGTTCCCAGAACCTAAATTTGTTTGCTGGGCTGCAGCTTTCCCTATGCAACTACATGCTAACAAACTCTCATTAGGTAGACTGTAATAGGTTAGGTTTAGGGATAGGGCTAGTATAATAAGTTGACACGTAGTTATGGTTAGCAGAATTTCTAAAGTGGACTATCAAAATAATCTAAAATGGAGCCATTCTCCTGTCAGATTTGACGTCAAAGTCATCTGATATCATTGTTGCTAGTTTTTGTTGTCTCTATGACAGCATGTTTTAGTCAGATGAATGGTGTATTGTGCTGGTGATGCTCGTCATCATGAGAGAGCTTGATGCTGGTTAAGTGCTGGCAGGTGCTCCATTATAATGTAGGACACTTGACTTGCCGATAATGAGCCTCGCGGGGTTTATTACTCTGACATGTCTAAATAGCACTGAAATTCTTCCCCCGTGCACCTTCCCCCACACACACACACACACCAGCATAATTTCTGCCCAGAGTCAAACCATTCATCAACGGTTTGAATAGATACACGCAGCTGCTAATGATCCTGACACTATTGTGTAAATACAAAGGGATTCGAAATTTCGATTACAACCCTTAAATGTTCTTTCATGTGAAAATGATGGATTAATTTTCTAGTTAAATTCTTAAATAACTGTACGAATGTAGACATTCGATCAAATGCATAATATTATTTATTCTTGTGACCTAAAATACAATCATATAAACTTGTAGGCACACATGATGTCTATACAGGCATTTCATCAAAACAATAGAACAAATCTTTATATCAGAACTCCTACTGTATTAACAGAAACCCACTGTAAGCTTTGGGTCTTAGCAATTCCTGTACCCGTGATACACATTTTCACTAGCTACATTTGCACAGATTCTGCTATTCAAGTTAAATATCACATTTGATAAAGCTCTCCAGGACTCCACAACAGAAAATATGCAGCCGTTTACTTCACTCTAACCAGACAAGTGAGTTTCTTCTTGTAACAAATATAATATAGCACTTGAACTTGATTAATAGCTCACTGTACAGGAGCTGTCATGCTAAAACACATAATTAGAAAAGCTATCCTCTCAAAAGCACGTGTTGATATTTCACTAAATATGTGTAAACACATGTAGATGATAGATCATATTAGTTCGCTTGAAAAAACACTGCCAACTGTAATTTTGTCAGCGATTAATATTATCATATTTACCGTGTTCAAAAATGAATCTGACAATAAGTTTAACAATTACTTAATGTGACTGTGTTGTAGCTGATCTTTCCTTTCTACAATATCCCTTCATACAAATACTGTATTACTGGGAAAACTGTGTTTGGAAGAGCACATTTATGAACTCATTAATAGAAAGAAAACCTAAAAACCCTGAAAATAAAACTAAAGCTTTCATACAATCCAATCGAAGGCATATAATAAAACTATGATAGCCGTCCTTAAAACCTTTGACTGAGTTGCACAACTAACACAGTACCAACCATTTAGCTTATTTTAGTTAGATTACTACTGGCTGCATGCCTTGACATGTTGCCATTCAGTTGATGAATGCGATCATGCCATTTATGACGTCTCTGTTATAAACACATTAACTTGGCCCTGCCTGTGCTGTAAGAGGCAGCTGTTCTCCACAAAACGGCTGTAAAGCTAATGTGACTATCGATCTCAGGAATAGCAAGTGGTTTTAAAACCCTTGTCCTGATTTTACTACTTTTTAAAATGCTTATTGATTAAAAAAAGGTATTAGTTCTGCCACTGGGTCCATTGGGTCAGCCTGGGGTTTTGTGGTCTAGAAGCGAGGAAAGCTGAGAGCAGAACAGGTTGCCAGGCACTGATGTTGCTGTAAACTTTGATTACATCACAATCACATCTGTGCCAAGATGGCGAAAATATGTCATTACAAAATGTAAAATGAAAGGATTAGTTCAGTTCTAAATTAAAATTTCCTGATAATTTCCTGACCGCCACATCATCCAAAATATTAATGTCTTTTCAGTCAAAAAAAAAACATTTCAAGATTTTTCTCCTTATAGTGACCACAACAGGGACCAATGTGAGTTTTAGTGCAGATTCAAAGTCTTGAAGAATAAGAGTCTTATCTAGCCAAACTATCAGTCATTTTCTAAAAATCAAATTATCCTGCACGTCCACGACTTCACGCATTACGTAATCCCGTTGGAAAGGTCAGGCGGTAAACTGAAGTATGGGGAAAATGTAGAAATCTCATTTTCTCTTCCAACGTCAAAATCATCTGACATCGTTGTTTAACCTTTTATTTAAAGGGTTAGTTCACCCAAAAATGAAAATTCTGTCAGTATTTACTCACCCTCATGTTGTTCCAACCCCGTAAGACCTTCGTTCATCTTCGGAACACAAATTAAGTAACACAGTCTCATCCCAAGAAGACATATAACTGACGTCTTGGGACGTCTTTTGACCATACGTCAATATCCGCCTTTTTAGGGTCCCCTTAAACGTCGGTAGATGACGATCCTGGGCCGTCATACAACTGACGCTTTACCTTTAACGTCGGTTAGGTGACGGGTTAAGTTTAGGTCTGGGGTAGAGTTAGGATCCGATAACCTCATCTACCGACGTTTAAGGGTACCCTAAAAAGGCGGATATTGACGTATGGTCAAAAGACGTCCCATAACGTTAGTTATATGATGTCTTGGGATGAGACTGCGCTGAATTAAGATATTTTTTATTAAATCTGAGAGCTGGATTACTCCTCCATACTAGCCCATAGGCTTCTTGAGTGATTGAAACTTGCCGGTCTTGAAAAGTTATTAAAGACATCGTTAAAATAGTCCAAGTGACTACAGGGGCTCAATCTTAACTTTATCAAGCAACAAGAATACTTTTTGCGCGCAAAAACAAACATAAATAACGACTTTATTTCAACTATTCATTTCATTTTCTTTGGGCGCCGAGTCAGTTAAACTAGTGTAATTGCGTAGAGCTACGTCACACGTAGGCCCACTGGCCGGCGCTAGTCATGTGTGTGATGCGTGTGACGGACTGTACAACAACAGATCATACGCTGTTAAACTAGTAACCTGACTCGAGGCAGAGAGAGATTTTTTGCACACAAAAAGTATTTTCGCCATTTGATAAACTTAATATTGAGCCACTGTAGTCACTTGGACTATTTTAACGATGTCTTTAATAACTTTTCGAGGCTGGCAAGTTTCAATTCCTCAAGAAGCCTATGGACTAGTATGCAGGAGTGATCCAGCTCTCAGATTTAATCAAAAATATATTTATTTGTGTTCCGAAGATGAACGAAGGTCTTACGGGGTTGGAACAACATGAGGGTGAGAAAATACTAACAGAATTTTCAATTTTGGGTGAACTATCCCTTTAACATATTTTTTTTGTTGTAATTTCCGTTTGACTTATTCTTTGCATGTTGGCTTTGTAAACACTAGCTCTGTACGTCCGCCTACGTCACACGTGACCTTTCAACCTGATTACGTAATCTGTGGCACATCACAGAGTTAGTGCACAACCAGCATTAGTGCTTAAAAAGAATATAAATGTTTATTATGTTTAGAAAATGACCGATGGTTTGTCTAAATAAGACTCTTATATAAGACTTTGAAGCTGCACCGAAACTGCAACTTGGACCTTCAACCCATTGATACCCATCGAAGTCCCTAAATGGAGAAAATTCCTGAAATGTTTTCCTCAAAAACCTTCATTTCTTTTCGACTGAAGAGAGAAAGACATGAACATCTTGGATGACATGGAGATGATAAATTATCAGGAAATTTGAATTCTGAAGTAACCACTGCTTTAAAACTTTATGAACATTGGTTCTCTAGGCATTTCTTTACGGAGCCCCTAAAGGAGGAAAAATAGTTTGTCAATGCTTTTGCTTTCTCTCGCAAATGTTTTGCATTCCCAAGATAAACTTTGCGTTCCCTCGCAAAAACTCTTGCGTTCTACCAAGAAACTCAAAAAGAGAAAGAGAGTTGAATGCAAACATTTGTTAGAGAAGCATTGACTTATTATTTGTCCTCCATTCTAAATGTATATGTTGCTTAGTCTTTTGCATAATTGCATATGATGTTGGTGGATGGGACTAGTGCAGTAAGGCTCCTAAATGAATAGGCATCATAAAAGTATCATAAATTGACTTAAGATAAGCGGATGACTTCAGGAATATTGCACATGAGTCATATGAACTGCTGTTTGTCATTTTGGACATTACCCCGTCTACTTAATATGGAAAAGATCTCTCATTCTTCTTAAAAAAAATTAACATCTGTGTTCCATAGAAGAAATAAAACCTTAACGGTTTACCAAATTTCCATTTTTAGGTGAACTCTTTCTTTAAGATATCCGAGTAAACAACAGTTGTCCCACTCGATCCTTGCTCCTCTTCCAGCGTTCTTGTCTCCAGGAGTAAACTGTGCATTAACGCCATCAACAAAACACTTTGGTTTTCCAAACACACTTTGTTTTCACATGACCACACATTTGCCCTTAAGCTTCTCCGCTCGTTTTTGCTGCTTGCTCTTCTTGCCGTCGATCTGAAGGCTCACAGTCCTGCGTTTCTCCAGGTTCAGAAGCTCCTGAAACAGCTCCTTGACGTTGTGATTGGTCTTGGCTGAGGTCTCCATGAAGGCACACTTCCACCTCTTGGCCGTGGCCTCTCCGTCCCCGCTCTCCACTTCACGGCTGTTCAGCTCGTCGTTCTTGTTTCCCACCAGCATGATCGGGATGTTCTCGATGTCTCCCTTAATCAGGCAGATCTGCTCAAAGATGGGCTTGAGCTCCTCCAGAGACTGTTTGCTGGAGATTGAGTAGACTAAGATGAATGCGTGGCCTTTGGAGATGGACAGGCGCTGCATGGCGGGGAACTGGTGGCTGCCGGTGGTGTCCGTGATCTGAAGCGTGCAGATGCTCTTGTCGCAGCTGATCACCTCCCTGTAGGTGTCCTCGACGGTGGGGATGTAGCTTTCACGAAAGGTTCCCTTCACAAAGCGCAGGACCAGGGAGCTTTTGCCCACTCCACCGGCTCCAAACACAACCACCCGGTAATCATTACTTTGTTCTGGCATAGCGGTGCTTAAAAAGACCTGGATGGAGGCAAAGTGAAGAAATGTTTATGAAATACAAGCACCAGAAGTTTGATATCCCATCAACGACACTGTATTTACATTATAAATCATGAAACGAGCCAAACATTATATTATAATAGTATTAGGATATTACATTATTAAGTCTGTTATAAAACATAATTTTGAGAGCTTTCTACAATATATAAAAATATTTAAAGTAGCGGTGTAACAATATATCGTGTCACAGTAAATCACAATTAAATACAAACATGCATCGATATGTATCGTGGAGTTCACCCAAAATGAAAATGTCTGTGTCAGTACTACATTAAACTCCTATATATAATATTGATATTTGTGGGTCCTGTCCTGATAATGTTGTATCGTTAAGTTAACAGTAAAAAGTGGCCTACATAATTTGTTTATAATAATTCTGTATTTTCAGCTCTGGAATTAATATTAATATTTTTATTTTGGTGTCTCTATTGTCCTGTGTTTTAGATTTCCAGCACTAAGTCCATCCTATACATTTACACACACACACAATGTAATACCAAATTTTGCGTGTCAATCAACTTTACATTTTTGGTTAGCCTTTTACCAAATGTATCGCAATAATATCGTACCGTGATCGCGATATGTAGGCTATCGAATCTTGAGGGTATGGTTACACAAAGCATTCAAAATTCAAGCAATTCAAAATCAAAGTAAACTCGTTCTTATAATGAGAGTCAGTAGAGATAGTCTACTGGCCAATGAGACCTCTGCCAGTCTGACATGTAGGTTTCCCTGATCAGTTCATCCAGCAGGACGAATATAAGCTCAATACAGGAGCAGCACATGCTCAGTGGATGCACTCAAAAACTGGAAATACATGTGAATGCGTCTTTTATTTGACGGTAAACGGGTCAGGATGTGATGCAGCGCTGTTTAGGCAGAATGCGCAAAACAACACCTACAGAAAACAGCACTAAATGTGAGTACCATATAGCCTATAAGCTACCTTTCCTTTGTTATACAATAAATTATATATAATACATATTTTGTATTTTAAATAATAAATAATAAATAAACCGATTTCGTTCGCTGGTTTGAGTTGATGCGCTTTAGAAACTCACCTAAATGCTGATGTAGCTATGAACTAGGAGTAATTTAAAATCCCCGTTGTCATGTCGTGGTGGACGATGGAGAATATGGGACGTGGGTTGTTTTTCCCGAGGTCTGCGATGTATCGAATTAATTTTGAGCCAATAAAAATGAACGTAACTTTTCAAGAAACGAATGAAAATATAAATTGAAACTGAATAAAATATCTTTGAAACTGAAAAAGAATGAACCGCAAGCATTTTTTTTGACTTTGTTTTTAATACACTACATGTTTTGCTAACTATTCCTCATATTTCGTTTACTGATCTACACTTACAAATGCGCTTCCAGAGTTTTCATTTACGCTTCTGAAGTTTTCGTTTACACTCCCTGAGTTTGCGTTCGCTGTTCTGACACAAATCTCTCGTGGGGGCGGGGCTAGTAGAAGTGTATTCTTATTGGCTACTGAGTTTTTGATTGACAGCTTCTTGACCTGGAAGTGAAGACGTCAGTGAGTGTTGTGTTTACACGTTTGGATGTGAGCGTCTGTAAGCGTAGCTTTCTATTTCATTTAGGTGATATTAAGTTTATTTCTTTATTTATTTACTGCTACACTATATTGTTGATATGATTTCTTATAGAAGGAATAGTACAGACAAATGATATAATTTGTCATCGTCGATATCAGAATACTGGATAGCATAGGCTACTCGTGGTAAGTCTGATTGTTTTTATTTTTTTTATTAATTAATACTAAACTAATACTAATTATAATACAGTTCTTGCTTTTTCAGGTGGAGAGGCATATTAGAGCTCAGTGAGAGCCCATAACATTATACAGCAGTGTTGTCTTGATTTAATTGGTAAGTTGTTAGCCCAATCATTACATGTCTTGTTTATCTAACGTTACATACGGTTACAGTCTTCGATTAGATCATATTTGCTTCAATTAGATCATATTTCCCCTCTGCCACCCCAAACAACATTGTGCTAGAGTACTGTACAGTATCTGTAGCCTACAGTACAAAATGTACTGTATCAGACAATGACCGATGCCATTGGACCAGAGCCCTGTCAATCACTGCCCGGTTCAACTTTGGCAATGTAAAGCCAATTGCTGATTAATTTGTGATGCAGAGTTTTTAAAAGAAGAGAGAGAGTACTTGACCATTTTCCACGTCTCCATTCATAATATGTTAACACTCATTTGTTCCCAAGTATAACCCTGGGCGCAATATTTATTCTGCAAAAGGCAACAAAATGCTTTTTCTGTATCCATATTTTAGTAATAATTATGTTAAAAAAAAAACAACATTTTGGAGAAAAATGTTGAATTTTTAATAGTCTTTAATAATTTATATATATATATATATATATATCCAAATTCAAAACCTAATACATGCAAGTAATTATGACTGAAAAAATCCAGCAACTAGGGAGTAGACGCTACACAGCCATGGATAAATGTTTATTGGGCTATAGAGCCATCTACTGGGTATACAATAGTATTACAGATGATAAATGGTGTGTGAGTCAGGTAAACATTTGGTACTGTAAAATCCCTTAAAACATTTATATAATTTGTTTGAAATAATTATTTTAAGTCTGCAAATGGTTACTGCATGTGGGAGTTCAAAGCAGTTTGTATTGTTAGATTATAATATATTTCCTTTCTCATTTTCCAGGGATTTGAGCAACTTTTCCACAAACAAAATTCTGATGCTGACACAGAGGATGGAGTGATAATACCAGAGATCAGCTGTCTCCATCAGACAATAATGTTACTTTGTTCAGACATATCACCTTTGAATTACTGGGATCCTTATCTTCAGACACCTGTTGTATTTTATTTTAATATTATAAAATAGCAAATATTTTAATTTCTTTGGAGCTCTAGATTAAAACAAACACAGTACACAAGAGGTTGCAGTTTATTCTTATTAGTCTCTGCTGATCATGGATTAGCATACCAACAGCATATGAATGGAATAGTTCATCCAAAAATAAAATTCTCACTTATTTTACTCATCCTCATGCTGTCCCAGATGCATTTTACTTTCTTTCTACAGATAAATACGAATTAAGATTTTAAGGAAAGTAATCCATCTCTGCAAGCCCTAAAGATGCTTTAAAAACCACACACAGTGAATCAATCAATACTGAAGTGAAACAATAGAATAAAAAAAAAATAAATACTAATAATGTAAACTGTTTTAACTATTAAAAATCATTTCCGACCAACTGCCATACATGGGTACAATCCACTTGTGTTATGTGGACTCACAGAGATGTATTATTTCATTAAAAATCTTTGTGAGATTATACATTTTATTATCTATATTATGAGAATACTGTGCATTACATGTATAGTATGCAGTTAATGTTTTGTGGATTCTGGTCTTTCCTGTCATAACTGCATCCAAGACTTTCACTTTGGTACTTGTGTATATGCTGTAGTGACAATAAAGAATGAATAAATTTATTAGATTTTTTTATTTAAATTCATTTAACTGATTTTATAAGTCATAATTGAACCTGTTGATGATTGTTCAAATATATTTACCATTTTAAAGGTTAGAAAATAATATTAACAAAATGAAATAAATAAAATTATCAGCATGATTAAAAAAATACCAACAAAAATATTCTTTGTGTGAAATATGTAATGAAATGCCCTTTGAGGTCTGTATCATCTGACAGCAACCCACGATTGTAATTTTCATATAGTTTAAATTCCTCTTATTTAAGTGATCATACATGATCATTTGATGGTGTAAATGCATATGGTAACAATGAGAAATTTGATGGCCATGGTTGCCAACCTTGATTACCTGGTTGAAGTGAAACTTTCTTGACTGCTGAATATATCACACACGTATACTAGTAGGCTATTCTCTTTATATTGTAATAGCACAACCTATTCAGAGCCTAACATGCAAACGAATCATCAAGAATAAACAAATATTCTCCTAAAACATTGGACAAAATATTTTAAGTAGTCACATACAGTGGGCGTACTTTGATGTACAATTACACCTGAATAGACTGATCTCTTGTGAACCTAAAAGCTTCTGTTGACAAAGTAATCGCAGCAGAAGGTAAATACAGATAAAATTAAAAAACAAACATAACTTAATATTACTAAAATTAAATAGAAAGCTGCGCTTACAGACGCTCACATCCACACGTGTAAACACAACTCTGACGTCTTCACTTCCAGGTCAAGAAGCTGTCAATCAAAAGCTCAGTAGCCAATGAGAATACACTTCTACTAGCCCCGCCCCCACGAGAGATTTGTGTCAGAACAGCGAACGCAAACTCAGGGAGTGTAAACGAAAACTTCAGAAGCGTAAATGAAAACTCTGGAAGCGCATTTGTAAGTGTAGATCAGTAAACGAAATATGAGGAATAGTTAGCAAAACATGTAGTGTATTGAAAACAAAGTCAAAAAAAATGCTTGCGGTTCATTCTTTTTCAGTTACAAAGATATTTTATTCAGTTTCAATTTATATTTTTATTCGTTTCTTGAAAAGTTACGTTCATTTTTATTGGCTCAAAATTAATTCCATAGCGATACCTCTAAAGGTCCATCTGAGGCATGACTGTGATGTTTAAAGGGAGCGTGTGTTTCCTCAGTGTCTGCTGACTCTCTCCCGTTCTCTCTCCGTGACGTCATCTGGGATTTCAGCCCGCTGCACAACACACGCAGCCCTGCCTCGTTATATTCCTCATATATTCATCACTCACTTCCGTTTTTATTGTGGGCTATAATAATTCAGATCTAGATGTGCGTTAGGCTTTTGTGAAGTTAAGAAATTTAAGATTAAAATTAGCATTTCACACTAAATGTTTGCCATTCAAAATGTAAACAGATAGCCTATGGCAGATTGTATAATCTTCATACTGAACTGTGAACGGCTCTTTAAATAATAACGTCCTCCCCAATGTGATAGGTTAAATGTCAGTTTTGCAATATGTTTCATACTGTACGACTATGTTCGTTACAAAACTCATTCTAAAAATATGCACATCCTTTCAGGTCTGGCATAATGGCTAATAGAGCTGTTACTTACAAATTCCAAATCACATGATAAAGTTTTTTAGTTATAACGTAATCCATCACATTACACATTTCATGTAATATAGCCTAGCCTATTTAGACTACTTTTTGATTACTTTTGACCTACCTCATTTATAATATTGATTTAAAAAGGATAATCTTGTACAAAATTGATATAAAAATTCAAAGAGAAAGAAAATATATTCCATTCTCTGTTACTAGCAACATGAAGTACATTAAATATTTCATTATGTCAGAGTTGACCGAGGCTCATGAGTTTAATGAAAAGCTAAAGTAATTAATAATGTCATGAAAATGTTCAATTGAAATGAATAATTTAAAAAGAAAAACAATCATATTAAAACAGATGAAAGATGATCAAAATGTAAAATGATAACAAATTGCATCAATCGAGGACACAGGATCTAATTGCAACAGTCTTTTAATAAACAAAATCCAAATCTTATAAAAAAATAAAAAAAAAAATAAAAACCATAGGATTTTCCGAGCAGTAACGGAAACGTAACAATCACCACCACCTTAATGCAACGATAAGAACTGACAAAGAACAAGACAGAACACAGAGTTTAAATAGCCAGAACCAAACTGCAAATTAACAAGACACACGTGAACTGAACTAACAATCAATCAGAAACTATAGAAACAAACAGACAGGGGGCGGAGGAAGACAGAACTGAATTACAGACTACCTTAACACCAGAACAGAAATCAAAACATCTGACAATGTTAAAAGTGAAATGATTTCTGTAAATCCATTGATCAAACTCTCAATTTGTCTCAGTTTTCAGTGAAAGTCACATGACTTGTGCAATTCCACAAACCTGGAAGAGCTTCTGATAAGCAGTAGACTTGAAAGGAAAATGAAAAATATTAGAAGTATATACGAAATATAAATATAAGAAGTAGCAGGGGGAAACAATTAATTATGAATAATTTACTTCCATTATGTGAATAACATGTGACCCTGGATCACAACAACAGTCATAAGTCACACGGGAATATTTGTTGCAATAGCCAACCATACATCATAGGCTATGGGTCAAAATTATCAATTT